TTGACCTGAAAAGTTCATTTCCAGCAGTCTGTCCTAAGGCCACACATTTCAAAATGCTGATTATATCTTCTGTAACATTTACATTAGTGAAAAACTAGAAAACATCTAATAGCTCAAAATTGTTAATTAAAACTATAGGGTATTTTTACAATGGAACCTTCCTTCCTTCTTTCCTTTTCTTCTTTCTTCTCTTGGTACTAGGGATTGAATCCAGGGCACTTTACTACTGAGCTATATCCCCAACCCTTTTAAAAAATATTTTGATGCACATCTGTAATTCCAACAGCTTCAGAGGCTAAGACAGAAGAATTGCAAATTCATGAGGCCCTAAGCAACTCAGCAAGACCCTGTCTCAGAATAAAAAATAAGGGGTTGCGGATATAGCTTGGTTGGTAGAGTACATGCACAAGGCCCTGGGTTCAATCCCTTCCCCCCACAAAAAAAGTGTTTTTTTAAAAAAAAAAAAATAGAATAAAAAGGGTCTGGGGCTGTAACTCAGTAGTAGAGCGCTTGGCTGTCATGTGTGAGGCACTGGGTTCGATCCTCAGCACCACATAAAAATAAATAAAAGAAAGGCCCATTGACAACTTAAAAAAGGTGGGGCGGGTGGAGGGCTGGGGGTGGGGCTCAGTAGTTAAGTGCCCCTGGATTTAATCACTGGTACAAAACAATACAAAAATTAAAAATCTGAGACAGGGTCTTGCTAAATTGTAGATGCTGCTCTCAAACTTGGGATCCTCCTACCTAAGCCTTCCTAGTAGCTAAAATTATAAGGGGTTCACCCCCATGCTTGGTTATAATAAAATATTTCAAAAAAATTTTTTTAGTTATAGATGGACACAATACCTTTAGTTTATTTATTTACTTTTATGTGGTGCTAAGAATTGAACCCAGTGCCTCACCTGTGCGAGGCAAGCGCTCTACTTCTGAGCTACAATCCCAGCCTATAATGAAATCTTTTTTAAAAAAAAATTTTTATTAGTGCTTTATAGTTATAATGGAATCTTAAGTAAACCATGAAAAATTACTATTCAAACACTCATGCTTGAAAAAGACTCATAGTGTTGTTAACAAATAATAAGAAATTATACAACACGATCAATTTTGTTAAATTGCTATACACATAAAAAAAAAAGAATTTAAAAATTAATCAAAATTTTTTTTAGATTGAAATTTTTAAAAATACATTACCATTATAGTTTAAAAAAGCATTATTTGAAACAATTAAAGGGGGCTGATGGTATAGCTGTTCAGTGGTAGAGTGTGTGTTTAGCATGCATAAGGCCCTGGCTTCCATCCTTAGTACCAAAAGCCTCAACAACAACAACAACAAAAAAACACTAATTAAAGGCATGTAATAAGTAAGGATCATCTATCTATCTCAGCTCTTCCATTCCCTTTTCTCAAACTTTTCTGCTGTTCCTATCTGTGTATACACGCGTGTACCTTGTAGCCTCCAATCCTGTGGTCAGGTTTGAATTCTTTCCCATTTTTCAACCAGCGCAGTGTGGGGTTAGGTGTCCCACTGGAAGGGCATTTGAACTTCACTGTCTTGGCAGCTGGCACGGCATGCAATTTCTTTTCCATCTTTTCTGGGGATGTCCAATATGGAGCTACGGCTGCCCAGGGAAAGCCAAGAGAGACAAGAGGGATCGGGGAGAGGGATGGTCAGGCTCTGGGACAAGGTCTGGGTAGGACCTGGAGGTGCCCCGCCCATCCGCCCAACCCTTGAGAGCAGTGCCCAGCAATTATCAGAACATTTAAAGGGAGGGCAACTAGGCACCATGACCCTGGGTGCCCTCTGCTTCTTCCTTCCCGCTTCAACGAAGCCTCCCACTTCCCGCTTAAACCCAACTCCCAGGCCCCAGAGGCAGTAAGGAAGGAAACAGTGTCTCACGCATACGGTTTGGTTTGGTGTTGTCTGTCTCTTTCTCCTCTGAAGAGGAGTCATCATCGTCATCGTCATCCTCCGAGGAGGGGAGTGCATCTACAGGAAGAAGAAGGGGCACTGAAGGTCCCTCTGAGGCACCTCTAGATTTCCATCCACAACAACAGTCACCCCCTCAAGGCTTGTAGAGTCATAAATGAATCCAGCCACCCCTCCCCATGAGGACTCCCAGTCCCACTTTTCCCTTGGTGACAATCTTTCAATGGGACGGAAACTGAAAACCGTGTGCTCCAGTGCTGTCTCCTCCCTTCCTCAACCCAGTGCACTGCCCCTCTCTGCCCAGAAGCCTCTCCTCTGAATGCTCCACCAGAAGCAGCTGTTCCTCTAACTTAACGCCATGCTGCACTCAGAGGCCCTCTCTCTGTTCATGGCACCACCTGATTGCCCTGGGTGTCACAGTAGCAAGCCAGGGAACCTACATCCTTCTTTAGACTGCCAACCCCTGGGAAACAGGCAGATTGAGGCACACTGTGGCTAGGAGCTATTTCCAAAGTCATAGTTCCTTGGCATGGCTCTGCTGAGGTTTGGGAGATGCCCTTTTAACCACAGCAGATGGGGAGCCCACCACTACCAACATCTCTGCCCCACAAGTATGAACCCCTTAAAAGAACAGGCTTCACACCCATGTAGTCAGCAACAGGGCTCATGCCAGAGCTTTTTCCCGTCCTTCTGGCACTTTGGGGGATCTGGAGGGAAATAAAGAAGGCAAGTCCCTCAGTAGTGGGGCAGGTTCTCAGTGATGTCTGGGAGGAGGTGCCAAGTCTGCATCCTAGGGTACACAAACGGCTTTACTTCCTTGGAGGGTAGTTTTGTGAAAGTCACAATCTAAACGTAGTAGATTCCCAAAGTCACAGAGCTCTCTGGTTGCTCTGGCACAGCTCCAAGAGCTGGTTGGCAGGTATTTCTGTAAAGCCTGTGGACACGGTGCATCACAGCAGGGACTCACCACATATTCTGGGGCTCTAGTCACTAAGCTCAGTATCAAGTCCAAGTGGCAAGGTAGTGGCAGGGTGGAAGTTGGCTGAGAAAGAACCACTTAGCATCCTGGTGATCTGGGTAAGTTGTGGTAGGAACCTCGGAGGCTCTTAACATCCCAAGAGCATCAGCCACTCCTCTGAAGTCGGTCTTAGAAGCCCCACCTTTCTGGCCTGTGGTCCGCCCTACCTGGTCACCCCTTTGAGAGCTAAGCCACGCGGCGGGCAGGGAGCAATGTTAGTGGGCAGCAGTTTCTGAAGCAGAGTGGGGGCAGATCATGGCAGGGAAGGAGGTTCACCTCCCACTGAAACTAGCAGAGAGAGTCAGAGGGGTGGGTCCAGGGGGGAAGGCAAGGATAGGGATTGGCTACCAACCTGAGACATTGACGGAGAAGTAGGTGGTGTCGCTGCCAGAGGGGCTGCTGGTCACACAGGTGTAGAGGCCAGAGTCCGCGGGCACGGAATCCCGCACCTCCACCTCCTCCCCTGTGATGCGGGTACGGTTGCTTTCCACCAGCTGTACCCCGTCTCGCAGCCAGTTGATGCTCTGCACATCGTCCCGCAGCCGACAGCGAAGCTGCAGCAGGTCACCAGGGTGGACCAGGAGGGACTCCACTTCCACAGGGGCTCCCCAGGGCTGAGCTGCAGCCACCCATGGGGGCCGGGAAGAGGAACCAAGAGGGGAGAGGAAGGAGGGGAGAGACAAAGGGAGTGACGCTAGCCACAGCGAGCAGCGACCTCCCAGGCCTCCCTCACCCCAGACACACAGCTGGGGAGGCAGGGATTGGAAGCAGCTGGCTACCTAGGACCCCGATGTCCTCTTCTCCACCCCACTCCTCCAAAAGTCAAAGGAAGAAAGAGGCAACGTTAGGAAGCGGCTGCAGCAGCATTAAGCAAATCACACTTCATTCCCCCCATCCTAAGGGGAAAGTCGGCCTTCACCAGGACCAGTGTCCAGGGTGCTCCCTCCCCACACCCTCAGCTCTTCATCAGGAATGGCCACTTGCCAAGAGGAACACCCCATTTCTCTTGGCTAGGTCAGCCTCACCCCTTTCCCTAGTGACAGCTAAGTGCTGCTCCTCAACAATCCAGCAGCGCCCCCAACACCCACTTTGGGAGAAGGCCCTGGGTTCACAGGGTTCCGTGAGGGTGGGCATCTGGCCCCCCAGTGAGTCAGATGTGAATGTGAGAGAGACAGCCCAAGGAGAGGTCAGCTCAGGGGAGCCTCCGGCTAACAGGTGTCGGCCCGAGGATTTGGAGCTTTTGCCTATATTAGGAACGGGGGCCTGCAGCTGCCACAAAACCCACACTTGCTCTGGCAGCAGAAGCTGCTGCACACAAAGCCCCTTTTTCTCCTCATCCCACTGCCCGGACTCACCCTCTCATGTGTGTGCCACCTTCCTCCCTATAACACACTGTCACACATCCACCCCACCCCACCCCTCACTTCTTTTCCGGCTTTAGACCTGGCCAGAGTGTCCATGGCTCACAAGATCTGATGTCACCAAGAAGACCCGTCCCTCTCCTGAGAACTTGCTCACTCTTGCTAGCAAGAAGGCCGGTGATCCCAGTGACTCTAGGAGCCTACCATCCCAGACTGAACAACTGCCCTTCACTAATGGGGGAGGGGAGAAATAAAGTTCCCACTTCCCTTTTAGGGTGTACATGCATTCTGCTGGCCTCTGGCTTCCACCACAAGAAAGCACTGGGTGCCTCTCACACCTGCCACCTGACCTACAGCTCCACACCTGCTCACCGAAAGAGGCTCAGGAGGAACTTGTCACAGATCCACAAGGCCCTGAAACACAACATGCTATTCTGATCTGCTGCTGCCCCATCACCTGCAGAGCCCATGTCTTTGCCTGGCTCTTGGCACACACTCTCCAGTGCTTGGCCTGGCAGGGACCTCCTTCTGGAAGCTGCTTCTCCCTCCCACTCTGACGCCATATTGACTTTCAGATCTCTAGCTAGCACCCCACCTGTCTTGTGCCTGGCACCCAAGAGCTGTTTAATAAATGCTTGCTGAATAAATGCCACAGATAGGGTCTCTTCGCTGTCTCTTCTCTTCTCTGAATCCCCTTTTTTCCTTTGCCCCACCCTTCATTTTAATGAGTCTTTTTCTGAAGTCTATCACATGTTCTCAGTAGAATCCTTAGAAGTAAAAATGTATGTCTAGGGCTGGGGTTATGGCTCAGTGGTGGAGCAATTGCCTAGCATGTGTGAGGCACTGGGTTCGAACCCTGGCACCACATAAAGATAAATAAAATTAAAATGTGTCCATCTACAACTAAATGTATGTATGTATGTATGTATGTATGTGTATACACACACACACACACACACTTAAAAAAAATGAATGTCTAAAGCCAGACCTGGTGGCACACTCCTATCATTCCAGCTACTCAGGAGGCAGGGGCAGGTGGCTTGCTTAGCTCAGGAGTTCAAGGTCAATCTAGGCAACACAGCAAGACTCACTTTAAATACGAAAATAAGAGAGAGAGACAGACAAATAGACAGACAATGGGTGTCAACACATTGCAAACTACCAGAGGCTCAGTTTTCTTCCAAGGGGACTTGTACCCTGGCCACTTCAATTCAAGGTTTGTATCATAAATCTAGGCTCATCAGAAATGGGGGTGCTATTTTAAAAGGGCTCAGAAACTACTAACCTAGCACACATTTATTTTTGTGAATCCGGTGAAGGGGAACGCCACAAAGGTGAGCAGAACACACAGTTGATTAAAAATAAGCTTTTGTGGGTCTTAGAAAAAGTTATTCTTTCCATTTTTAATGATTTGTGGTTTTGCCAAATGAAGGCAGAAGAAAAGCAGTTTGGGACTGGATCCTTAAAGGAAAACAGCAGACACTCCTATTGATCAAATCTTACTTCCCTCAAGTGACCTCACTGATTAAATATTTTGTAGCTCGTGATCTGCATCAGCCGTTGGTCAACAGTGAACTCAAATTCTTAGACTCTGGCATCACACAGACTATTTCAACAGGTCCCAGAGATGAAAAGTAGTTCACAAAGACAAAAATCACAGCAAGGAGAACACTCAGACACTTGTCCCCAAGAGAGAGCAGCCAAGAGACCTGGCCCTGCCTACACCCACTCTGGCTTGGTCTCAACTAGAATGTGCAAACAAAACTCTCCTACACCATCTATGAAAAAACCTCAAGAACCAGCTTTCTTTTCTCCTGATACCACCCTTTGGATCCTGGTTCTCTTCCAAATGTGTCTCATTGGTTTCATTCTTTCCCATTCCTGGTTCCATCTTGGGATAACCTCCTATGTGACCTTTCTGGTTACAGTTCAGACTGGCCCCACCTTTTCTCCTCATCCAGACCCAGATCCCAGCCATGAATAGGCTAGTATCTATATCCCTGTTGTCCTTTAAGTCTCCCCACATCTCTTCCACCTGTTCTGTCCCACCTTCTCTCCCTAACAGAAGCCTTCCAATTTAAGTCTAGGAGTTCTCTGCCCTGAATACATCCTCCCCTCTATACAACTAAGTTTCTGCTGACAACTATCAGCATCTCTCTAGAGTCCTCCTGCCCTAGACTACACAAAGTCCACCATCAAAAAAGCCCACCAATGGCGGGCACGGAGGCACAGGCCCATAATCCCAGCAGTTTGGGAGGCTGAGACAGGAGGATTGCAAGTTCAAAGCCAGCCTCAGCAATGGTGAGGCGCTAAGCAACTCAACTGTCTCTAAATAAAATACAAAATAGGGCTGGGGATGCGGCTCAGTGGTTGAGTGCCCCTGAGTTCAATCCCTGGTACAAAAAAAAAAAAAACAAGCCCCCCAAGTCTTCAGTCTATACTAGTGTCTCTATTCTTAATTTTCTGTAAAATGGTTGCTAACTGAACCACATAAATTCACACTCAATTATATTACTGTCTTGTATTTTTTTTAAAACATCAGAGATAATTCACACTATAGGAATTCACCCATTTGAAGTGTACAATTAAATGGTTTTTGGTACACTGTCTCATGGTATCCAGGAGGGACTGGTTCCAGGAAACTGGCCCCCGTACCCCCATATGAAAATCTGAGGATGCTCAAGTCCCTTGTATAAAATGGCACATCACTTGCATACAACCTTGGTACTTCCCCTCCTATACTTTAAATCACCTCTAGATTAATCATTTGATTAATCACCTAATCAAATATAAATCATTGTTATACTGTATTATTTAGGGAATAAAAACCAGGGGGAAAACGTCTGTACATATTCAGTACAGATAATTACCCTTCCTCAATACTTCCCATCCCAGGTTGGTTTGAATTCATAAGTACAGAAACCACAGGAACACACAGCAGGCTGTGTATTCAAAGTTGTAAAACCATCAATACAACTTGACTTAAGAATATTTTTGCAAGACCAAAAGAAACCCTATACCCATAGAAGTCACCTCCATCTCATACCCTACCACTGATCTGCTTTCTATCTTTCTGGATTTATCCATTCTCCATATTGGTGAAATCATACAATAGATAGTGTTTTGTGGACTGGCTTCTTCCACTTTGCATAATGTCGCAGTACTTTATTCCTTTTAATGGCCTACAAATATTCCACTGTATGGATATACCACTTGCAGTCATCAGTCAACAGACATCTGAATGTGTTCTTTCTTAATTGTCAAAAATGTCCATGTCTTATCATGTACAACCATAGAAACGTAAGGTTGTGCTGCAATTGTGTACAACTGAATCAAAGTGTATTCTGCTGTCATATATACCTAATTAAAATAAATTAATTAATTTTAAAAAGTCCATGTCTTGCCTTTCTTAAGAACAAGCAAGCAACCTAGAGCAAGATTACCTATTATAATTTCTCCAACAGTGCCCAACAATGTCAGAAACACAGAAACTACTTGATAGCTCTTCAACTAAATTTAGCATCTGGCAAAAGCTAATTCTTAGAGGAATCAAAAATCAGCCTAAGGCTCTAAGGTATTTGTGGCTTGTTCAGTGCTAGCGGTGCCCTTGAGTATGTGTCAGACTCTCTATTTACAACACAGGGATAATGCCACTTTCTTTTAGGAGGTGATGAAATGGTAACCAACCACTTATTTTATGGTGGGTCCTACTTCTGCATTGCTGCCCTGTACAGTGACCCTGACCTTGACACTGTCCTATGAAAGGTGGCTTATTCCAGTGCATTACTGATCACCAGCAGCCCACAACTTAATTTCCCATCCTCTTTTGTTTTTTTCCAGTGTCCCTCACGTTTTGACTTCTTTGGAGAAAAGGTCCTCCATCCCTGCTCTAGTTTAAAGCAGCTGGTCTTTCTCTGGTCAAGACCAACAGGCTAGACTAGACATGTCCTTAGGTGTCTATTAGCAAGAGATGAGCTAACTGATGCTTTTATTGAGCTGGCCATGAAAGGCGAAGAAAAGAAAGCCATTTTATTGCTCAGCCACTTGAAGCCAACATTCCAACCCTGGAACAATCTGATTCATTAGAATCAGGTACAAGGGTTGTCCTCAATACATACAATAGGGATGCTTGAAGGAAGCTGCAGACCTAAACACTTGCTTTATGTATCTTATTTCCTGAGAGATGAAGCGGGGATGGAGGCTGGAGACCATGTAGTATCTGGATGCCATGGTGACCCAGCCTGAGGCTGAAAATGTT